TGTAGGATAGCGACGTTGGCGGGAGCGTGTGTAGCAGGTCCATCCTTTAGTGAGGGTTGGTGGGGAATGGCCACGAGAAAGCATGCGACGAGTGAGTGTTGTCGCTGCAGTTCGGAAGTCCTGCCAATTATTGCAGATGCGTTCAAATCTGGTCAATTGCCCAGTGAACACACCTGCCGGTTGATGGGAAGGGATGTTGGAGGTAGCACTTGGATAGCGAATAATAGGGAAATCCCAAGCAGCGGCTTTATCAAACACGCTCATGCGAAGCAAACCATCAGAACGTACCCGTAGATGCATACCTAAAAAGGTACACGAGCCATCTGTAGCCGTAGTCTCCTTCCACTCAAGCCCATAGTGCTATGAAGGAGGAGGTAATTGCCCGCATGAAAGAACATCATCAATGAGGCGGTAAGTGAAGGCGTATCACTGAGCAGCTTGGGGATCATGTTGACGAATGTCATCAATAAAGCGTGCTTCATCCCAATAGAGCGTTAGATTGGARATTTTTGGGCCAACATTTGTTCCCATTGGAATACCAATGATTTGCTTTCGAAGAGTGYCATCTCTAGTGTACAGAAAATTGTTTTCTACAATAAAGCGAAGATGTTGCAGAATCTGAGAAACGGAAAGGTTGTCTGGTCCTGAATCGGTTGTCCATTGGCCTGAGCAAGGCCCGCGAATAAACATGTTCAAGGTTCTGCAGCGCGAATGCATGCGGGTATGCTGAAGAGCATAAGCATGAGCTTCATCAACAACCTTTGCCACATTATTCAAAATGCGGTCATGAGGAAGGTTGGTGTACATTGTGGTGAAATCAACCGTGCGAGGAGAGAGGCCACGTAGAGGTTGGTGTACATTGTGGTGAAATCAACCGTGCGAGGAGAGAGGCCACGTAGAGAGGACACATTGTTTTTCAAGTCAATCGCCACCTCATCGGCACTCTGGACGATCCAGCACCGTCGAACACCTTCCTRTTGATAGAGCTCAGTGTCTTTCTCACGAAGAGTRGAGATCACGCCTTGCAAAGCAGTGCTGAGACAAGACGAAGTAGCCGTTGTGCTAGCCAAGGGTTTGTGAGGAGGTCGTTCATGAATGGTGCGAATTGAAGGACGAGAGCGAGTGTGTGGGGGGACAGGACAAGTATTCTGTGTTGTGACTCCAAGAATGCTATAAAGAGCTGGAGGAGACTTGTGGGCTTTCAACACATAGTATAGGTAAGGCAGGGTATCAGTGTGGGTATAACCCCAATGGTGATTCCATAGTGCATGGTGGTTCAGCACATCAGCGATGGATTCATGAGGACGAGTATAAGTGGGACTGTCCAAATGGGTAGARAGGTGAAACAAATACCAATTCTTGCAACAAATTGYCRAATTGTGGGATGATTTGTCCACAGGRACAATAGCAAAGTGTTGTTGCAGATGGCGTAAGGAGGCATGTGCACAACGAAGTGAATGTTGTTGGCTCACATGATTGGAAGACGAAGTCGCATTGGATTGACAATGCCCAAGGATTGCAGAACGCCAGCTGTGCAATTTCAGAGAAAGGGAGGAGAAAGAAGCAGATCGAGAGTGTCTAGCAAATGTATTMTTGTAACTGGCAATGTACTCATCGAGTCCGATCGCCAGTGCTTGGAGCACATCAGCAGTCTCCCCGTTCAAACGATATTTAGAACCTTCTTGAAAAAGCTTGCGAAGGTTATCGTCTAAGATGATATTGTAATCAACAGAGACAACATGACCGTCCACAAGATCTGAACAATGCGGAAAGGCCCTGCGGCATTCGCAGTTCAAGGAGTCTGGTAAGGTCATATCAGGAGCAACACTCAATGCCACATCAGTAAAGHTGCAAAATTGGACACGTGTGGGTGGCATCAACTTGTCACATACACGAACATGTGCGGCCGCTTGTGGGTCAGGGTGCAATGCAGCTACTTCTGGCAACTGCAACACATGGCGCAAGTTTGTGGCACGAACTACCTCATGCACATGTACGACCTTAATATGGTCAGTAAACGGGTCACGAGGTTGTGCTGTGTAACGTTGGCGGGTATGATGGGATTTTCGAATGAGGCATTCGAGTTCTCGAATGTCTACTGTCATGTCCGCATTGGAAACATTGTTATAAAGCCATTGCAAAAGTCGTGCCCGCCACGCTGGTTGTGCCTGCTCAATGTCAGCCTTGACACGACACCAGTTACCCGAAGCAGCTTCATGAAGAAGGCGATGGAGTGAGGTACGAATTATGAGTTGGGGACCTGGACGAAGATCAATAGCAAATGACGGAGGCGAAGGCGTTGGGAGGAGAGGCAAAGGCCRAGAGGGTGTTGGCAAAAGAGGTGCAACATGGGAGCCAGCGGGTGTCGGCAAAAGGGGTGATGTGTTATGAGGAGGATTAGCTGATGCAGGAATAGGTGGAGCAGGTGAGGGCTAAGCAAAAGGGGATTGCGGAACGAACGGCTGAGGGCCCATTTGTGTCCATCGGGACGGACGTAAATGCCGCCGTGGAGATGGCAATCTAGCCATTGGAAGGACTGCATTGAAACCGACTAGGTGAAGCGTTCGAAATTTTTGAACCCAAAAACCCTCGCGGGGTGCAGCAGCCCTCCGAAAGAGGCCATGATCAACAAGACCTCCAGACGTATGATACAGGGTAGGATCGATGCATTCCAGGGGCCAAGCCGTGAAGTTGAATGCTGGTTGCCCACTCATTGTGCGGTAGAAATGGCGATGGTGAAAAGTAGCAGAAGAGTGTCGTGTATGCCAATGCTCTTGCAGCCTTTGGTGTGCAGAATGCATCGTCTGTCTAACATGAAACCGACCAGAAGGTAAATGAACAATTGCATAAATCACTCCTCGAACAGTGAGGGGGTCCATACTTGGCTCAAGAGGTTGTTGATCAACACCTCGCAATTGTAACTCAAACCGCTCGGCCTGCACAACATTGTTAAGATGACGGAGTTGTTTCTTGCGCCACCTTCCTGCAGAATACAAGTTAGCAAGTGCCTGGCGGTTCAACATGTGAGCATAAGCAAATGGGACATCGTGACCTGGAGGAAAGCTTGGTATAGCACCTGCCATGCCAACAGCAGGAAATCTCCCGAAACGGGTGGGAAGTATCGGAACAGCCCCTTGATTATTTCTCAATTGCAAATTCATTGATTATGACACGATTTTTTTTTTTTTTTTTTTTTTTTTTTTTTTTTTTTTTTTTTTTTTTGTTTAAAACCTTTAAACCCCACCACCTCGGTCCGGGTTTCCTCCCTTTTTTTTTTTTTTTTTTTTTTTGTCAACTTTTCAATCCAAAGAAGGGAGGTGGGTGCATGAGGTGACAAGACTTTAGGCCCGACGTTCCGTTGATGAAGCTCCTCGGCCGCTCCAACGATCCAACGCAGCAGCAACAGGTACGTATTCAAGCCACTTCTTCTTCAGCCTTCTTCTTCCCCCCTTCGTCAGTCTTCTCAACTCACTCTCTTATCTCCCTCCTCGCCGGCTTTAATCATTGCCAGCGATGTCCAGTGGATGCAGCGAGCAACTACTCCGATACCAGTTTGCAATGAACCTCAATGATTCAATCACCGGTGCGCACATATT